GGCAGAAGAGGAAGTGAGAGGGAATGACGAGGAAAATGAATAAAGTAGAGAGAGAGAGAGAGAGAGGTGAGGAGAAAGGGAGTAGAGAGGGGAAGGAGAGACAATAACGAGGCAGTATTGTTGGAAGTCATTAGTCTTAATTGACTTGTTTGTGGGAGAGAATGCTTGCCCTGTGTGGCCTTGGTGGGGGGAAGGTGTACTCTGGGGGCATGGGTATGGGGCATGTTGTGTTGCTGGGGGGTGTTGCTGGGGGAAAAGGGGTGCTGGGGGGGGGTGTTGCTGGGGAGGTGTGTTGCTGGGGGGTGGGGGTGTTGCTGGGGGGGGGGTGTTGCTGGGGTGAGGGTGTTGTGTTGGTGGGGGGGGGGGGGTGCTTAAAACAGGTGGAAACTTAGTACCCAAATGAGCCACTATTTTCTTTTTTATATACAAGAGTTGTTACATTCTTGTACATCCACTAGTACACGTAACGCTTCAGGCAGGTCCTTAATCCTGTGGTCCCTGGAATACGACCCCGCGAAGTGTCGCTTTTACAACCAGGTGCCCATTTTACCGTTGAGTTAAAGAACAACAAACAACAGAAGCTACAGTTAAGGATTTGCGCCCAGTAAATCCTCCCCGGCCAGGATACGAACCCAGGACAAAGCACTCCCGGAACGCCAGGTGAGTGTCTTACCACTACGCCGCGGAGACTGTTGAGCTCTGGCTGTTTGGTCCCGCCTCTCAACTGTCAATCAACTGGTGTACAGGTTCCTGAGCCTACTGGGCTCTATCATATCTACCTTTCTATCACTAGAAAGAACTTTTTCAGTGTCAGAGTAGGTTACACATGGAATGCATTTTGCCCATTTGTCTCCGCCTCCACCGGGGATCGAACCCGGAACCTCAGGACTACAAATCCGAAGCGCTGTCCACTCAGTTGTCATGCGCGCCCTCTTTGTTACACTTAGGTAAGTGTAACTACACTTAGGTAATTACACAAACACGCTCCTAACCCCATCTTAACCTCTTTTTTCTTTTTTTTCTTTTTTTAAACATTCACAAGGTATTAAAAAGTAAGAAAAACTAAGTCATATTGAACATCGTTGTGTGTGTGTACCATGTTGTTGTTGTTGTTGTTATAGATTCAGCTACTCGGAACATGTTCCAAGTAGCACGGGCTATGGTGAGCCCGTAGTGGACTTCCCTGGCACAGGAGCGGTGCCGTCTGGTGTGAGCACGATGTTCTCGCTAATGTTTATGTATCTCTTCACACAACATTTTTCCCCTTCAACGTACCAGACAAAACATAGCTGCCAGATGTTTATGATCATTCCTTCACTAGTGAAATAAATGTTTAATGTTTACTTCTCTGTTCTTCTTTAGTCTCGCTCCTCACATTCCATCTTTATCCTTCAACTTGTGCGTTCAGGTTGGGGAATTTTATAGTTTTATAAAGCTTGTTCTGTCTGAGAAGTCGTTCATTGTCTCGTTAGACAGCTTGACACATTCTTGGCTCTCACAGCTGCCTTGTACACCTGGCAGGTGTGTGTGTGTGTTGGCCTTACACACCTGTGTTGACATATACACCTGGCAGGTGTGTGTGTGTTGGCCTTACACACCTGTGTTGTCATATACATCTGGCAGGTGTGTTCCTCAGAGAGTTCACCTCCCTGAAACAGCGGGATCAAGCAGCCTGTTCGTGCTAAATAGATTTGGTAATTAGCTTCACATTTGGTTGGGTTACATGCGGTCTACCTTTAGTTATGGCGAGGCTTTACACACTATAGTGTTCCACCATGCTGTTGTGGGTCCCTTGGTACACAGCCACTTGGAGTGGTCGGTAGAGCGGCGCCTTTGCTTCTTGTATGGTCGGCGTTCTATCAACGATGGCTGAGTTTATTTTTTTTTGCTCCTTATCCTTATATTCCTGCTCCTTATCCTCATATTCCTGCTCCTTATCCTCATATTCCTGCTCCTTATCCTCATATTCCTGCTCCTTATCCTTATATTCCTGCTCCTTATCCTCATGTTCCTGCTCCTTATCCTCATATTTCTGCTCCTTATCCTCATATTCCTGGTCATTATCCTCATATTCCTGTTCCTTAGCCTCATCTTCCTGATCCTTATCCTCATATTCCTGCCCCTTATCCTCATATTCCTGCTCCTTATCCTTATATTCCTGCTCCTTATCCTCATATTCCTGCTCCTTATCCTCATATTTCTGCTCCTTATCCTCATATTCCTGGTCATTATCCTCATATTCCTGTTCCTTAGCCTCATCTTCCTGATCCTTATCCTCATATTCCTGCTCCTTATCCTTATATTCCTGCTCCTTATCCTCATCTTCCTGATCCTTATTCTCATATTCCTGCTCCTTATCCTCATATTCCTGCTCCTTATCCTCATATTCCTGCTCCTTATCCTCATATTCCTGGTCATTATCCTCATATTCCCGCTCCTTATCCTCATATTCCTGCTCCCTATCCTCATATCCCATGCGCATTATCCTCATACCCCAGTTCCCTGGGAGTCGTTAGCATGAGACCGGCTGCCAAGGCCACACCTTCTGGTCGTACGAATGCATACTGGGAACTTTAGTTACCCCTAACATAGAAAACCTTAGTTACCCCTAACATAGAAAACCTTAGTTACCCCTAACATAGAAAACCTTAGTTACCCCTAACATAGAAAACCTTAGTTATTCCTAACAAACAAAAGCTGCACATACTGGATTCCTTAATTACCCCAACATAGAAAACGAGCAGTTACCGGGGAACCTAAGTTATCCCTCACATAGAAAACGAGCAGTTACCGGGGAACCTAAGTTATCCCTCACATAGAAAACGAGCAGTTACCGGGGAACCTAAGTTATCCCTCACATAGAACACGAGCAGTTACCGGGGAACCTAAGTTATCCCTCACATAGAACACGAGCAGTTACCGGGAACCTAAGTTATCCCTCACATAGAACACGAGCAGTTACCGGGGAACCTAAGTTATCCCTCACATAGAACACGAGCAGTTACCGGGGAACCTAAGTTATCCCTCACATAGAACACGAGCAGTTACCGGGGAACCTAAGTTATCCCTCACATAGAACACGAGCAGTTACCGGGGAACCTTATATACAAGAGATCCTATACACTCTTGTACAGCCGCCGGCACGCGTAGCGTTTCGGTTTAATCCAAGTCCTAATTTAATCCTAAAACCCCTTAATCCTAATTTTCCCCGGAATACGACCCGCCAGTTTGTTTAACCACCAGGTACCCACTCACGGCTGGGTGAACAGGGGCAACAGTTCAGGATTGGCACCCGGTCAATCCTTCCCGGGCCAGGATACGAACCCAGGCCAAAGCGCTCGCGGGTGTTCTACCACTGCGCCACGGGGGACCTTAGTTATCCATGACATTGAAAAACAACAACAGTCTTAAGTTTACAGAACACAGTTTCTGGCAACACATACAGGGATGTATACACAGATGGCACAGGGATGTATACACAGATGACACAGGGATGTATACACAGATGACACAGGGATGTATACACAGATGACACAGGGATGTATACACAGATGACACAGGGATGTATACACAGATGACACAGGGATGTATACACAGATGACACAGGGATGTATACACAGATGACACAGGGATGTATACACAGATGACACAGGGATGTATACACAGATGACACAGGGATGTATACACAGATGACACAGGGATGTATACACAGATGACACAGTGATGTATACACAGATGACACAGGGATGTATACACAGATGACACAGTGATGTATACACAGATGACACAGGCACACATATCAACGACATATGTTAGCGACATACACGATTACAGAGATATGAGAGTCATTAAAGGAATATGACTGCATGAAAAAATAAAATGGAGCTATTAGCTCCTGGACCCCGCCTCTAGGACCATTATAGTAGTACACACCCCAGGAAGCAGCCCGTAGCAGCTGTCTAACTCCCAGGTACCTGTTTACTGCTAGGTGAACAGGTGCTTAAAGGGAAAGAAACTCTGTCTATTTGATTCTGCCTCGGCGGGGAATCGAACCCGGGCCGTTGGGACTACGACCCCCGAGCGCTGTCCACTCAGCCGCGAGGCCCCCCCAGTGCGTGTGTGTTGGGGGGCGGGGGGGGGGGGCTGGCTGCGTGGCTAAACAGGACAACTTGAAGCATCATTAATTATTTGCAGCCACACTCGGTACCGATCTCTGTGGTGCGACACACACACACACACACACACACACACACACACACACACACACACACACACACACACACACACACACACACACACACACACACACACACAAACACACACACACACATTAGGGAAGATTACCAAAAAAAAAGATAGAAGACTGCAAGAAAGTATCCGGAAAAACTAACTGAAAAAATGAAGTGGCCAATAGAGTTTAACTCCAACAAATGCAGGTAATAAAGCTGGGTGATGGCAGCAGGATTTACGACTCAAAACACAAATGTTTATAGGAAACTCTCCAAGAAGCGAACTGAGAATAAGATGAGAGGCAGATGTCTCAGAGGACCTGTCACCCGGGGCACACCATAAATATACAGCACCATCTGTATATTCAACCCTAACAAACATGAGAACAGCCACCCATCTGAAACCCAAATGGAGTTATTTAGAAACCTGTCTACCACGTACGTTAGACAAATTTTTGAATGTGCAGCGCGAGCCTGGAGTCGTCATCTCGTTAAATACAAGACGAAGCTGGAGAGAGTTCAGATACCACTATACTAGTACAAGAGCTGAGAGTTAGGAGTTGTGAGGAAAGTCTAAAGGAATTATATTTCGTCACTGGAAGTCAGAAGAATTAGCGAGGACATGATTACCACATGCAAAATATAAAGAGAATTGATAAGGCATTATTTGGAATCGGTGATACACAATTAAGGAGATACAGGCGGAAACTACATATTTAAATGAGCCACAGTGACATTAAATGCAATTTGTCAGAGTAGTGAACGAACAAAATGAACTTTAAAGTGAGTTGCCAATGTTCGAGGACCGAAACGTCGTCGTCTCCTCGTTTCTGGCGTGTGGTTGGTCATCACACCTACAGCCCCGTTATTGTGACTCATCGTCTACAACTTAAAAGTGAGACGGATGAGGCTGACTCCATACATAGTTTCAAATGTAGGAACCTGTTGATTGACAGTTGAGAGGCGGGACCAAATACCCGAAATTCTACGCATTGTAAGCATAATTAACTAAGCACAATTAGAAGAGCACCCACATTGTTATAAGTCTGGCTTCTGTATTTGTATTAAAGTCCGGTTTAACCTTCTCTTAGTTCCTCTAATATGTTTGTTATGCCATCCTCTTTTACGGACAATTGTCAGTGTTCATCACTACTCGGTGCAGGGTCCCAAGGTGCAGGCTCCCAAGGTGCAGGGTCCCAAGGTGCAGGGTCCCAAGGTGCAGGGTCCCAGCTCCCAGGTGCAGGCTCCCAAGGCAGGTCCCAAGGTTGCAGGCTCCCAGGTGCAGGCTCCCAAGGTGCAGGCTCCCAAGGTGCAGGCCCACTCCCAAGGTGCAGGCTCCCAAGGTGCAGGCTCCCAAGGTGCAGGCTCCCAAGGTGCAGGCTCCCAAGGTGCAGGCTCCCAAGGTGCAGGCTCCCAAGGTGCAGGCTCCCAAGGTGCAGGCTCCCAAGGTGCAGGCTCCCAAGGTGCAGGCTCCCAAGGTCA